CATTACAAAAAAGAATTAGTTGTCATATTGGTCCACAGAACAGATTCATCATATGCCCGTGTTCTCTTCTGCCATGAACAGGCATAGATATGAGACGATAATGTGCTTCATGCATTTCAGTGATAACACACTCTGTGATTCTCAGGGTGACCCAGAACATGACAGGCTGTACAAAATTTGGCCCCTCATAATCCACTGAGAAATTTTTAGATGTGTATACGCCCCAGCAAAACATCTGCGTGGATGAGTCCCTCATTCACTTTACTGGCTGCATTGCATTCAAACAGTACATCCCCAGCAAGTGTGCCAGTTATGGGGTCAAATTTGTATAAGCTTTGTAAGCAAGCCACAGGCTATATGTACAAATTTAGGGCTTATGAGGGAACCCTAGGCCATCTTTATATGTAGAGCAACAATTCTTTTTTTTTTTTTTCCAGATCCTCAGAGAGTTCTTTGCCATGAGGTGCCATGTTGAACTTCCAGTGACCAGTATGAGAGTGAGAGCGATAACACCAAATTTAACACACCTGCTCCCCATTCACACCTGAGACCTTGTAACACTAACGAGTCACATGACACCGGGGAGGGAAAATGGCTAATTGGGCCCAATTTGGACATTTACACTTAGGGGTGTACTCACTTTTGCTGCCAGCGGTTTAGACATTAATGGCTGTGTGTGGAGTTATTTTGAGGAACAGCAAATTTACACGGTTATACAAGCTGTACACTCGCTAGGTTACATTGTAGCAAAGTGTCATTTCTTCAGTGTTGTCACATGAAAAGATATAATACAATTTTTACAAAAATGTGAGGGGTTCTGTGAGATACTGTATACCACCATTTATAAACACTATAACTTTCTTGTAAACCAATTAATTTACACATATTGTTTTTTTTTTTGTTTTTTTTAGCAAAGATATGTAGCAGAATACATTTTGGCCTAAATTTATGATGAAATTTGATTTTTTTTTTTTTACATGTTTAATAGCAAACAGTCAAAAATATAGGTTTTTTTTTTTGTTTTTTGTTTTTTTTTTTTGTTTATATCGCAGAAAATAAAAACCACATATGCGATCAAATACCACTGAAAGAAAGCTGTATTTGTGGGGGAAAAAAGGACATAAATTTAATTTGGGTGCAGCATTGCATGACTGCGCAATTGTCAGTTAAAGTAATGTAGCGCAAAAAATGGCCTGGTCAGGGAGTAAATCCTAAGAGGGCAAATGTTTAATAAAATCAATGAAATTGTACATAAATATTGAGTATAAACAGGGAGCAGAAGAAAAACCAGTAAATAACTGACAGACCTTTTTACTGCTTTTCTTCTACTACCTGTTTACACTCAATATTTATGTACTATTTTTTTAATCAATTAATCACTTTTGGGGTTTAGGAGGATTGTTGATTTGTGAGTTGATCCTTTTTGAAAGGGTTGTTACTGGAAGATGGTTCATTTAGTCTTTGTATGGCAGCGCAACACTTCTTTTTTTTTTTTTTTTTTTTTTTTTTAATAATTAGCAAGTGGGAACACTTTTTGCTGTTTGCAGCAGCCCTTTTATATTTATTCACCTTTATTGTGTGGGTGGCAGTGGATTTGCTTTGGCAGTTTTTATTTGCATGAGAATTGTGACTTAGCTTGGTGAAGGTGGTGAAAATACACTTTGCAAAGCATACTCAATTACATGGAAGGATAATTAAAAAAAGCTTTTTTGCTTGCACATAACTAAATGACAGACTTCAGCAGAACTACAGCTCATTTGCTGTGCTTATGGAAAGTTCCCTTGTAAGGTGAACAGCCAATTCGCCTTCAGTAAAACAACTCCAGAGAGTTGACTTGGGGAAGGTAAAAGAAGTTTATTTTATGAGGTTTGTGTATCACATAGTAATTGGATTTGGTACTTTTTAGACTGTCATACAGATACCTTTTAGTTGTAATCTTAAATTTTGTTTCTTAAAGTGTTACTAAACCCACAACTGTAAAATCAGTCTGTATATGCAGTGATGCATGCTTGTTATACTCACTGTGGAACCTAAGGGGTTAATCCTCTGCATTGTGGAAAAAAGGATGTTTGATCCTGTCTTCTCTCATCCTCCCCTTCTTTCATGTTCCCCAATTCAGCTTCTGATAGAACACAGCTATGGGGATGCTTTTCTTCAGCAGGGACAGGGAAGCTGGTCAGAGTTGATGGGAAAATGGATGGAGCCAAACACAGGGCAATCTTAGAAGAAAACCTGTTAGAGGCTGCAAAAGACTTAAGACTGGGGCGGAGGTTCACCTTCCAGCAGGACAACAACCCTAAACATAAAGCAAGAGCTACAATGGAATGGTTTAGATCAAAGCATATTCATTTAGAATGGTCCAGTCAAAGTCCAGACCTTATTCCAATTGAGAATCTGTGGCAAGGCTTGAAATTTGCTGTTCACAGACGCTCTCCATCCTGACAGAGCTTGAGCTATTTTTCAAAGAAGAATTGTCAAAAATTTCACTCTCTAGGTGTGCAAAGGTGGTAGAGACATCCCCAAAAAGACTTGCAGCTGTAATTGCAGCGGAAAGTGGTTCTACAAAGTATTGACTCCGGGGAGGCTGAATACAAATGCATGCCACACTTTTCATAAATTTATTTGTAAAATATTTTGGAAACCATTTATCATTTTCTTTCCACTTCACAATTATGTGCCACTTTGTGTTGGTCTATCACATAAAATCCCAATAAAATACGTTTACATTTTTGGTTGTAAAATGACAAAATGTGGAAAATTTCAAGGGGTATGAATACTTTTTCAAAGTATTGTATTTACTAAAATTGCATTTCCATGGTCTGTGGGAGACCAGATATAGTGAATGCAGGGTCCAGGGTTTAGTAACACTTTACATGCAAGCAGTGTAAGTACCCGAATTATATCTTGTATCGGCCTCTTGCAATCCCTTGTAAAGAACAGCTTTTAGGGAAAAAGTGCAAGGAGCCAGTCAGCTAAGCTGCGGTTTTCAATTTTGGAAACTTTCCCTTGTTTTTTTTTAATTGAAAAACAATTGCTTGGAACTGAAGGTCCACAGAGATCAGATACTTATGCGTTGTGGTTTCACTGTATCGAGCAAACATTGACAGTTGAGTGAAAATCTGTTAAAAATCCCTTTCAACTGGGATTGCAATTGTTTTTGTTGATTTCCACGGCTGTTTTGATCATCTGGATGCTGAAATGGTAACTGTTCAAACAATAAAGGGCAGATTGCTGTCTAAAACCTCCAAACTTTCCATATGAATGGTGAACATTGAAGCTTATCTTCATTTTATCCTTGCCTTTGGTCACTGTAAACAATGGGCTGCATTTTAGATCAACAAAAAAAATATAAGCTGTACTGAGCTTTTTCAAGCTGCAGTGTGCAAGAGACCTTTAAAGTGGTTCTAATAAAGGTTTGTTTCTTGTATTTAAATTAGTAAACCTATCATACTTGTCTGTTCTGTGCAATGGTTTTTTCTGGTCCCCCACTGGTGCTTTTGGCCCCTCCCCCTTGCCAAGTGCCCCCAGAGCAAGCTGCTTGCTCTGGGGGTGGGTGTGTGTTAACTTCCAAACTGGCTTTTCGTGTCAATTGGATACACACAGCCTGGCTGAGCCCCGACTCCCTCTTCACTGGTTGTGATTGACAGCAGTGGGAGCCAATAGCTCTGAATTGTGTCCTTTTTCTCTGGGATCTCAAGTGTCTTATGCTGTCCATACATGGGTTGAAATTCGACCGATTTTTTTTTTTTTTTTTTTTTTTTTTTTTTTTTTTTTGTCTGAAAATCAGATCTAAGAATAATCAGCCGATTTTTGCTCTGTTAGTGGGTCAATGGCACTGGCCGATTTTTGTGGTCGATTTTTTTTCGGTGATCAGGCATGTTGGAAAATTTTTGAAAAACGACCAATTTTCGACTCAATGACGGTCAAATCGTACAATAGTTTTTCCAAAAAGAATATACCCATGAGCCGTGACCTGGAAGGAACAGAAGTGTCACCTGTTATATGGGGTGAACTTCATGACTTGGTCGGCTGATTTTCTAAATCATTGATGACCTCATCGGATTACCGAGCAAACAACGTTTTTGATTTTCGGACAAAAAATCGTCTGCATTTTGACCCATTTATGGCCTGAAATAGTTTGGTCTAAAGACATGGATGGTTTGAAAGAGAAGGTTCCACCACCTGCATGGTAGGCTGAGTCTCCCAGTGTGACTTTGACTGCATCTGCTTTCTCTGGTGTTCTGAAATGCAGCCAAGTGGAAGTGATGGGGATCTTAGGGATGCATTGTGTTTTTAAATGATCTTTGCATTTACCTAAAGGGTTAAACCACCCATAATCTATCTTTCAAATAAAGCTGGATCCTTGTAGATTGAGTCCTATTGAACTTTTTTGACTCTCAGGAATGTCCGCTTTGAGATAATCTATAGTCATATGCGAGTTGTATTGTTGTGTCTTCTAGGTTTTTAAAGCTGGCTTTTAGTTCTGGGTGAGGTTTGCCATTGACAGGGATAGACTGGGAGAAGTTGCATTCTCCAAATGGTCAGTTTACTAGGGGCTAGTGGTATTGTCATGCTAGGAAAATGGATTGACCAATTTTGTCTGAAGTGTCCCATTGAAGCCTAAAAAAAAATTTCCCAGCAAGAATAAAAAAACTCTGATGCAGTGCTTAACTCCTCTCCTGTGCTGTCCCACACACATACATACATACATACATACATACATACATACATACATCCTCAATCAGTATGTGCTATATGGCAAACAAATTGTTTGTTTTTGTTGCTATATTTCAACAGGCAAATATTCCCCAGACTGGACATAGGCATATTGGTGTGCAAGTTCAAATACATAGGGAGCCTCAAATTGTAAGCTGTAAATACAAGTGACATTAAAAAAAAAAATATTTAAATAAAGAGCAGAGATTGGCTGGCTGATTTTAAGTCCCTTCATAAATATAAGAAATACTAACTTTATGTAACTTCTTTTCTTTTCCGTCTAGATGGTGTTTTACACGTGTGGACCAAATGAGGCCATGGTGGTATCAGGTATAGCTCCAAGGCTGATGTGTTTTTTGTTCATTTTCAAATTCAGATTTTTTTTTTTTCTTTTTTTAATGTTGTTGTAAATCGTGTAAAGCCAAAAAATTGGATAGAGCATGAGAAGGTTAATACTGCTGTCAATGTTTTCCCCATCTGTGTCCCATTAGGGAGATTCCCTTTTACTTCCTGTGCTGTAGATTCAAGAGGAAGCAAGATCTTTTGAATGTAAGGGACATCTCGTAAAGAGTTTTCAAGAGAACCAGTACCCCCATAGGAAGAATTCTTATTTATTCCTGTTCTGATTGAAAATGTTGGCTTTTCCCTTGCTTTCGGGTCCAATGACACCTGTGATCAGGACAGTTGTAGAAAATGAATCTCCTAATGGGCACACAAATGTGTATTTGTAAAAAAAAAAAAGTTTAAAACCATTTATCATTCTCCTTCCCCTTCACAATTATGTGCCACGTTTGTGTTGGTCTATCACATAATATCCCAATAAAATACATTTACGCTTTTGGTTTTAACATGACAAAATGTGGAAAATTTCAAGGGGTATAAATACTTTTTCAAGGCACTGTATTATGTGCAACTGCACTTTGCACTGAATATATGAAGTTCTTCTTGGAATCAGATTTTGTGATTTGCTCACATGAGACGTGTCATTTCCTGTGGTGTTATGGTGCCAATAAAAATGACCTAGTTTAACATGGATCTGAAAAACGTGCAGGAAATGACCTAAACCGCTTTAGGCAAAATATGTGTGTGTTTTTTTTTTTTTTTTCAGTAAGCATGTTAAGTTATTACCCCTCCATGTTTAACTTAAAATCAAACTTTCCCATTTGACATACTTACTATACCACATTTCCATTACAATATTACATATAGAGATTTATAGGCTCTCCCTGTAGTAGCAAAGTGTATATCACCACTTCCTTGATCGACAGCAGCTGGGATAAACTCTAATCCACAAATAGACTACTAGACTGGCTTCAAGTATTGTGCAGTCACTGTGCAGCAGTCTTAGGCAGAAAGCAGAACCTCCATATGAAATCGACAAAAACAGTTGCCTAGTATGAGTGAAACCTGTACATAGAAGCTTTTAAACGTTGAATGATTGCCTAGTGATAAAATTGTTTACATTAGGCTAATCACATTTACGCAAATATCTAAAATATAATCCCTTATTTGTCCCTTTTTTCTTTTTCCTACTCTCCAGGCTTCTGTCGCAGCCCCCCAGTTATGATTGCGGGTGGCCGCGTGTTTGTCCTGCCCTGCATACAGCAGATTCAGAGGTGAGTTATTGTAGAATTTCTTATCTGCTCTTGATACATATATTAGGGTTCAGTTCACCAGAAACTTATATTTTAATTTTTGATAACATTTGATAGTTAAAACACCCAATTATTTATCATATCCCAAACTTTAAATACACTGTACGCATGTTTTTGAATCTTTAGGATCTCCCTAAATACTCTGACGCTGAATGTAAAGAGTGAGAAGGTCTATACTCGCCATGGAGTCCCTATATCTGTTACTGGCATTGCTCAGGTAAAACGAACCTGGAACACCTACATCACAACTGTCATGAGCGAAATATGTAGACATCTAGCCAGTCACACTGAAGAACAATTATAAGCCCCTCCCACGTAACATTAGAAAACTGGTTATGTCTTAATTGTACAGTACAAGACACAGGCTGAATATTCAAAAACCCTGAGTTATAGGCTGCTACCTTTTTGGGTGATTGGACACTGGAAAGAATTTTGGACAAGGCCCCACTGGGTGTACCCCATAGCTCTACACCACTGCATGCGACCTCGGTTTTTGCTAGTGTTCTTAGGTGATAGACCTCTTCTCACATATGGAGAAGTCTATGCTTAACTAGTTTTTTTTTTTTTTTTTTTTTCATTTTAGATTCTTTATTTAACCCTTTGATACCTTTTTATTGTAACATTAGAATCAGTGCATCCAATTGTGGGAACTTCAGTAATACCTTGGGTACCGTACCTGGACCCAATGATGTGTGGATAGTCTGTAATGTTGCTTCAGGTACTGGATCCTACTTGGGTGCTTACCTTGGTGCTGAGTGTAACACATGAGGTTAGCTGCAGGGTGTTTATATAGGTTTAGGCTCATGGTGCATTTCTATGGTTTCCAGTACATTTATTTTTTAGCATGTCCTTGCACAAGGCAACTTCTGTCAGTAAACCGGTAATGTGTTTGAGCTCATTCACTTAATGAATGTTTAAACATTTGCAAATATTCCATCACTCAAAGCTTAGCACCCCAGACTTCATCTTTGAAGCCGAAATTCAGCCCTTCCTTTCAGTGCAAGATTTTTAACACAAAGTCCACCAAGTCTGCCACAAAGCCTTCTCCATGCTCAAGTGATGACTTCACTGTTCACACTATCCCTATGGGTCCCAGACATCCAAGACCTATGTGTTATCAATGATTTCATAAGGGTACAAAATAGAGTTTCAAATTCTACTTTCATCATTTTATTTTCTCAAACCAGCCAAAATCTGCCAAAGGTTGGTCAGATATGCAGACTGCCCTGAACCATCTCTTGTCCCAGGGAGTAGTCGTTCCTGTCCCTCTAGAGGACAGATTCAAAGGACTTTATTCAAGCCTGCTCATGGTACCAAAACCTGAGTGGGTATTCATGCTATTGCGAATCTAGATTCAGCAAGGACAGTAATTGCTTGTATGAGACCAGGGGAATATCTCACATCTGTAGACATTTCAGATGCCTACCTGCCCATTTGCATTTACCCAACTCAACTCTTCTGAAGAAAGATCTGTTTCACAGACATACTTAGACTTTTGGAAAACCCCTGGCCTCTTCTAAACAGGCCAGACCTGCTCTCTTAAGGTTCCCTGCTTCGGAGTCATTGGCTTTAACAGCATGACTGCTGAAACCAAGGTCTTACATGAAAGAAGTATTTCTGACTCTGTTTTCCTAACTTACTCCAAGCCAGAAAAGACACATAATGAAAGATATACTAGCATACCTGGCAATTATATTTTGTCTGGCGTAAAGACAGGCTCTTCAACATGAGAGTTTACACTTTACCTTGTATTCTTTCCTTCCTGCAGTCAGGACTTGACCAGAATTTGGCTTTAAGTACTCCCTTTTTATATTAGAATTCCAGTCTAAATCTAACTAGCCTTAAAAAAATCCCCTACTCCTACCTCCTAACACATGCGCTGACTAACCTGTGTAAGAAATGCAGACACTTTATTGTCAAAAGTATTCACTTTAGTGGCATCCCAGTCTTAGTCTGTATGGTTCAATACTGAGTTGGCCTATTCTTTGCAGCAATAAAAGCTTAGACTCTTCTGGGAAGGCTGTCCACAAGGTTTAGGAGTGTGTCTATGGGAATGTTTGACCATTCTTCCATTAGCTCATTTGTGAGGTCAGGCACTGATGGCGGACAAGAAGGCCGGGCTCGTAGTCTCCACTCTAATTCATTCCAAAGGTGTTCTATCAGGTTGAGGTCAGGACTCTGCAGGCCAGTCAAGTTCCTCCACCCCAAACTCACTCATCCATGCCTTTTATGGACCTTGCTTTGTGCACTGGTGCACAGTCATATTGGAACAGGAAGGGGCCATCCCCAAACTGTTACTACAAATTTGGGAGCATGAAATTGTCCAAAATTCTGAGTATGCTGAGACCTTATGAGTTCCCTTCACTGGAACTAAGGGGCCAAGCCCAACCCGAGAAAAAAAAACCCCCACCAAACTTTACACTTGGCACATTGCAGTCAGGCAAGTACTGTTCTCCTGGCAACCGCCAAAACACAGACACGTCTGTCAGTTGTAAGGCTTGAATGCAGCTGCTCGGCCATGGAAACCCATTCCATGAAGCTCTCTACACACTGTTGTGCTAATCTGAAGGCTACAAGAAGTTTGGAAGTCTTTAGCTATTGACTCTGCAGATAGTTGGCCACTTCTGCGCACTGTGCGCTTCAGCATGCGTTGACCCTGCTCTGTCCTTTTATATATCTTACCACTTCATGGCTGAGTTGCTGTTGTTTCCTATCACGGTACCACCGTTGAGTTCATTGAGCTCCTGAGAGCGACCTATTCTTTCACAAATGTTTGTAGAAGCAGTCTGAATGCCTAGGTGCTTGATTTTATACACTTGTGGCCATGGAGGTGATTGGAACACCTGATTCCAATGATTTGGAGGGGTGTCCCAATACTTTTGGCAATAATAGTGTATGTTTTTGCCGGCAAATGTCTTACCTGTATATTTAGCTGTTTGTTTTTAGAGTTTATATAAATTATACAAACCTCATAAGAATGTTATGTTTCACTTTAAACTGTTCACAATATGACAGTTGAAATCTGTTACACTATATCCTAATAGGTGAAGATCCAGGGACAGAACAAAGAGATGCTGGCAGCGGCTTGTCAGATGTTCCTGGGTAAAACCGAAAATGAGGTGGCTCAGATCTCTCTGGAAACCTTGGAGGGTCACCAGCGTGCCATCATGGCTCACATGACTGTGGAAGTAAGCTATGACTGGAGTATGAACAACTGTAGTAATGTTTTGGCCTACGTTTTTAATAATAGAAGTGTAGCTGACACACCATGGGGAAGGTTTGGCTGTAGATGCAGAAGCAGCAGTTTTATCTTCCATTCATTGTCATATAAAAAAAATGCCATCCTGTCTTGACATGCTGAACTGATATAAAGTGAAATAGAATTGGTTTCTGTTCAGGTATTTCACTTTTCTTTTTTTGATTTTCCTTCTTAAGGAGGAACTGTAGCATGCAACAGCAGCTCTTATACATTGTGGCAGGCTTCCCTGTGGGTTTGCCCTTCTCCAGCAGCAATAAATCCCTGATCCCCATCACTGTTCCATCTGTGTTGCTATCTTCTCCAACATTTCTTTTTCCTCCGGCATGTTTTCTGTTCTGTCAGTGAGTAGGTACAGCTGTTGTAACTAGATTTACAGTATCTGAGCCTCTGTGATTGCGGCACCTAGCAGCAGTTGTGGGGCTTTCAAGTGTCTACACAAGGGTTTTTTTTTTTACAGGTAATCATGCCTAAAATATGTTAGTGTATCTCAAGGCAAAACCCTGTTTTGAGTGGAGAAGACTTAGACCTTCTTTCTAATTTTCTTATCTAGCCTGTTTCCCATTGGGGAGATTCCCCCCCCATTGGTATTTATGGCCACACGAGTAAAGGGCAATCCGAAATTTTAGAATTGGCCCCAGCAGAAAAGGTGAGGGAAAGTCTTCTAATGGGGACAACTGACTCAGAGGAGAATATTTATTATTATACTGGATTTATATAGCGCCAACAGTTTGCTCAGCGCTTTACAATATAACTGGAGACAATACAGCAACAATACAGTTCAATACAAGAGGGATAGGAGCTTCTTGGAGCTTACAATCTAGGAATATTTCTCACTTTGAGATTTTTAAAAAACTTTTTGAGGTAGCAAGTTCATGGAAAACTTCTCCAGTGGTGCACTGACAGCACTATACATGCAATTTAAAATGCACATATAATCTTATGTGAAGATTGTTTGAAATGGTTTGGCAAAGGTATCTTTAATATAGCTTCAAAAGTAAATTTTAATCTTTCAAGCCATTCAACTTTTATTAAAACAATAACTAGTGGTCCTCTGTTGAACAGAGATTTGTCTCCTATTTGTGCTTCTGCGTTGTTGTTTTGCACTCCTGGTTGGGAATGTTGGCCACCATGCTGACAGATTGCACAGGTATGGTCCACCATTGTCACTACCAAGAAGCTGGTCTAGAGCAATGATGTGCATATAGGCAGGAAGTGGCTAAAAAAGGCTGGAGGAGGTTAGCGGTGCTGAGAGAGGGGAATAAAAGGTGTAAATTTACGCATAGAAATATGGCAGTAGTTTACTAAAACAGTACTTTTCACTTAGGGAAGGTTTAGATCCACTGTACATAAACCATTTTTTCATATTTTCCAAACACTTTCCCATTAGGAAATCTACAAGGATAGGCAGAAGTTCTCTGAGCAAGTCTTTAAAGTAGCCTCTTCAGATCTTGTAAACATGGGAATCAGCGTTGTGAGCTACACTTTGAAGGACATTCATGATGACCAGGTAAATTATAAAAGAGGAACCTAGGAGAAGCACTAGAGTTGACTTCAGCACCTCACAGTTTTTTTCTTCACTGCTTTAGGATTACCTGCACTCTCTGGGAAAGGCTCGGACAGCTCAGGTACAGAAGGATGCCAGAATCGGTGAGGCTGTGGCCAAGCGAGATGCTGGAATTAAGGTGATCACTGATGTCGGCTATGTCTTGAAAAAATAGTCTTCGATTGCATAGCAGAGGACTTGATTGTCCTTATTATATACACTTAAACCTGAAATCTAGGCAGATATAAAAGGCACACGTTATTGCAGCTCTGTATTCATTACTGTATCATTACATTTATTTAAATGTCAATACCTAAGTTTGACTTGGTATCAGCAGTTGCAATCCCCTCTACAGCAGAGCTGTAGCAGAATGGCAGAGATTAGCTTGTCCATGTGCTGCTTTTCCTTTCACCATTAAGTCACAGGCTGGAAGAATGACAGGACCTTTTACTTATTACATAAGTGCTCAAAGAAAAATGTTGTCTCCCCTTTCAGACATGACTGTGCTGTATGACATAGTGGTGTAAATCTCAGGACTGGATTGACAGGCATACAAATCATTTGGCAGGAAAAGAACAGCTTATATGTATTTTATCAGTGTTTTTACCTGTAAGCCTGGAGTACAACTTTAAATAATCCCTTGTATGGGATGACGTGATTTTCTGTGTTACAGGAAGCAGCGGCCCTACAGGAGAAAGTTTCTGCCCAGTATATCAATGAAATTGAGATGGCTAAAGCTCAAAGGGATTTTGAGCTGAAGAAGGCCACGTATGATCTGGAAGTAAACAGCAGGAAAGCAGAGAGTGACCTAGCCTACCAGTTACAGGTATAAACATCAATGCCTGTTGTGCATCTGTTATGGGAAACAGCTGATATTTTGTTGTCTTGTCTGCAGGTGGCCAAGACAAAGCAGAAGATTGAGGAGCAGAAGGTTCAGGTCCAGGTGGTGGAGAGGGCTCAACAGATTCAACTACAAGACCAGGAGATCATGAGGAAGGAGAAGGAGCTGGAGGCCAAAGTCAAGAAACCAGCAGAAGCAGAACGTTACCGACTGGAGAAACTGGCTGAAGCAGAGAGGTTGTCCATATTCCTTTTACTGCATTCCATGTTCTCTGCTGCTTATCAATGTGTTTACCATCCCTTGTCTTTTTCTGTCTGCAGGATGAAGCTCATTACTGAAGCCGAGGCAGAAGCTGAGGCCATCAGGGTAAGCAGACTTGCACTGTAAGACCAAAAATTATGTGGGCACCTCTCCAATATATTGCGTTCAGGTGTTTCAAGTAAAGGGTACAGTTAATGCTACACATATAAAAATACATTTTAAACAACTGTGCCCTTCCACCTTCGTGTCAACAGTTTGGTTAACCACTTCCTTACCTGGCCAAATCTGGCATTTCTCTCCTACATGTAAAAATCTGTAGTTTTTTTTTTTTTGCTAGAAAATGACTTAATTACCCCGAAACATTTTTTATATATATATATAATATTACACGCACATGAACTTTAATGGCATCCCAGGCTTAGTCCATAGGGTTCAATATTGACTTGGCCCACCCTTTGCAGCTATAACAGCATCAACTCTTCTGGGAAGGTTGTCCACAAGGTTTAGGAGTGTGTCTATGGGAAGGTTTGGCCATTCTTCCAGAAGCACACCTGGCTTGTAGTCTCCGCTCTAATTCATCCCAAAGGTGTTCTATCGGGTTGAGGTCAGGACTCTGTGTGCAAACTCACGGCCAGTCATGTCAGGAGTTCCAAAATGTCCCACAAAGTTGGGAGCATAAATTCCAAAATGTCTTGGTACTGACTCGTTAAAAGGTCCCTTTACTGGCTCTAAGTGGCCAAACCCAACCCCACACCATAATCCTCCCTCCACCAAACTTTACACTTGGCACAATGCTGTCAGGCAATCACCTTCATGGCCACATGTGTATCAAGCACCTAGGCATGCAGACTGCTTCTACAAACATTTGTGAAAGAATGGGTCGCACTCAGGAGCTCAGTGAATTCAAGCGTGGTACCATGGTAGGTTGCCACTTGTGCAATAAGTCCATCTATGAAATTTCCTTCCTACTAAATATTCCACGGTCAACTATTAGTGGTATTATAACAAAGTGGAAGCAACTGGGAACAAGAGCAACTCAGCCATGAGTGTTGTCAGCCCCTGCTAAAGCGCACAGTGTGCAGAAGTCTCCAACTGTCTACAGAGTAAAGCACTAAAGATCTCCAAACTTCATGTGGTCTTGAGATTAGCACAACAGTAGTGTGTAGAGAGCTTCATGGAATGGGTTTCCAAGGCTGAGCAGCTGCATCCAAGCCTTACATCACCACGTGCAATGCAAAGCATTGGATGCAGTGGTGTACCGCACACAGCCACTGGACTCTAGAGTAGTGGAGACGTGTTCTCTGGAGTGACCAATCATGCTTCTCTGTTTGGCAATCTGATGGACGTGTCTGGGTTTGGCAGTTTCATGCTCCCAACTTTGTGGGAACAGTTTGGGGATGGCCCCTTTCTTTTCCTGTTCCAACATGACTGCACCCCAGTGCACAAAGCAAGGTCCATAAAGACATGGATGTGTGAGTTTGGGGTGGAGGAACTTGACTGGCCTGCACAGAGTCCTGACCTCAACCCGATAGAACACCTTTTGGGATGAATTAGAGCAGAGATTGCAAGCCAAGCCTTCTCGTCCGACATCAGTGCCTGACCTCCCAAATGCGCTTCTGGAAGAATGGTCAAACCTTCCCATAGACACACTCCTTAACCCTTGTGGACAGCCTTCCCAGAAGAGTTGAAGCTGTTACAGCTGCAAAGGGTGGGCCAACTCAATATTGAACCCTACGTACTAAGACGGGGATGCCAGTCGATTAGACCCCGATTCTCTCCTTTTTGGCCTCCAGTGCAGCTAATCAGACATTGATCAGTCTGACTGCTTTTCTCGCCACTAATGGCCAGGTAAAGAAACAGCCAAAACCGGAAGTGATGAAATTCAATGGCCCCTGGCTCCTCCATTGGATTTGAAAGGCAGTGGGAGTGGGGGAACCCCCTTCCACGCCCGCAAAAATTATGGAATGGCTGTTTAGCCACTCTAATCACTTCTGCTGTAGAGGGAATCGCCTGCTGAAAATTTTGATACTAAAATGCCTGCAAGTCCAGGCTTCATCCCACTATAACCACTTCAACCCGAGGATATCATATGACTTCCTAAGGGACAGGAAGTGGTTAAGGCTCTTTTCTGTTCCTCTGTGCACAAAGCCAGCTTCATAAAGACATGAATAAATTCTCTATCTAGAGGCGTGCCAAGGAAACACAATGTAAACCAATAAAAAAAACACAAATTACAAAAATACAGCAGATATTTGGCTGACAATATATCAACTTAAAACGTATAAAAAAACAACCTAGACAGCGCTATATAATATTGTAAATCTAAATGCATGATGTCAGGTGCATTTTCTAATCAATCTATTTTTCACACTATATTAGGAAAACTCTAATAAATGTGTTGCTGTCTACCCTATCACACCATATTTAGCATTAAAGGTTATGAACCTAGAATGTCAGGTGCATTGGCATTAAGTGCAAAAAATAGCATGAACCTACCATGCCAGGTGCATTGGCATTTGTGCAAAAAGTATAAAGTGCCTTTACATATAGTGCATATATAACATACTCCTAAAGTGACAATGCAAAAATATGTACCTCAAAAATTTAAGTGAAAGTGCATATGTAACTTTGTTACTCTTAACAATGTAATTATTTTATGATGATGTTATATATGCACCAATGTAACAGTCCCAAAATATCTTAAAATAGATTAAATCAATGTGCAATGTCCGAAATTCCTAAATCTTCTTTCTTTTAGTGCACCACCACCGTGTATCCTAACGTTCTCAAAAATTAAATTAAATTTTCTTCATCTACTGCCCTCCAATCCCTCTTGTATTGAACTGTATTGTTGCTGTATTGTCTCCCGTTATATTATAAAGCGCTGAGCAAACTGTTGGCGCTATATAAATTCTGTGTAATAATAATATAATCTACTGTGAATTCTCTCTGTTGCACCTTAAATCATCACCAATATGTTTATCTGTCACCAATTCTACCAACCTCAACTCACCAAAAGATGTTGCTGGTAAGATCATAAATCAGCCCACCAAGCGTTGCTGGTGCACTCAAAGAAAGAGGATTTAAGAATTTTGGACTTTGTACATTCAATCTATTTAAGATATTTTGGGAATGTTACATTATAATTATTTTATGATGTTATATACACACTATTGTTAAGAGCAGTGGTCTCCAAACTGCAGCCCGTGGGCCAAATGCAGCTTTTTGCATGCCTCTATCCACCCTCGGAGTACTATTCCTCCCACTGACACCAACAAGGAGGCACCATTTCTTCCACTGCCACCAACTATGGGGCATATTTCCTTCCACTGACTTCAATGATATAAACAATTGGGTACTATTCCTCCAACTAATACCAGGGACGGGGTGCCGTTCCTCCCCCTGACACCAGGGATGGGGCGCCGTTCCTCCTTCCTCAAACTACAAGCACTATGTAATTTTTTTCTTTTTTTATTCCTACTGACGCTGGGACATTTTCTACTCCCACTGTGCACTCTGGCCCTTCTAAAGTCTGAAGGACAGTAAACTGGCCTTTTTTGTTTAGAAAGTTTGGAGACCACTGGTTAAAAGTGACGGAGTTATAATTTGCACTTTATTTTTGAGGTACATCATTTTGCATGGTCACTTTATGAGTATGTTATATATGCATTATATGTAAAGGCACTTTGTTTATGATATTTTCTGCACATGAATGCCAACGCACCTGACATTCTGGGTTCATAACCATTTAATGCTACATATGGTGTGATAGGGTAGATAGCAACACATTTATTAGTGTTTCCTCTGTGAAAAGTTGATTAGAAAATACTTATGCACCTGACATCACTCATTTAGATTTACAATATTACGTAGCGCAGTCTAGTTTTTCCATATTTTATTTTTGATAAAGACATGGTATGTCCAGTTTGATGTGGAGAAACTGGAGCTGGTTGCACAGAACCCACCCATTTAAAAACGTTTGGTGGTATTAGGAAAATTGTTTGTGAGACAGATCTCTTATCCAGCATCAGTGCCTGTTCTCACAAATACTCTGTTGGCTGAAGGAGCGTAAATTCCCACAGACTGACTGCAAAAACTTGTGGAAAGTCTTCAAGGAGTTGAGGCTGTTATAGCCTCAAAGAGGAGGAATGGGGTGGAGGGGGAGCTCAACTTCATAATAATGCCCATGGTTTCGCAATTGAAATGTGATGACCATCAAAAGTACACAGTATAAGCATGCTAGACAAGTGTCCACAAACTTTAGGATTCATAGTGTGGATTTTGTATAAACTTTTTTTATAGATTGCTAGAATGTACAGTATCTGCTATACACAATCGATGCCCTATTCGGTTATGATATTGAAGGGCATAATAGACCCCTTCACTCTATACAGAAATAGCACATTACATAAGACAATAAAGTACTTTAAATATCTAATTCTATCATATTGGTTTTTGTTTTTTGTTTTTTTTTGCTTTGTAAAGTGTATTGCCTTGCATAAGTAAACATCGGTTTACACATCGGCTATTCAGATCAGTCACACAGCAGCTCTGAGGTTGCATGCAGGTAGAACTGCTTGACCTTCACCCTTTACAACAAACTGCTTTTCATTGCGCAGCAATATAGAAATCCAAGCAGGTTTAACTGGAATTAACCTGAGGGCCACTCAGAATTGCTGTTCACACTGCTTGTTGATCAAAAGGGAGAACTTTGTTGGTTTGTAATGGGAGGGTATTGGAGGTTTTCCAATTTCATAAAGAGACTGTCACTGTAAAAAAGAAAGTTTGCAGCAGAAATAAACTACAGGGACTTTGAGGTTCCCGCACATACCTGCATCAACTCTCAATCCCCTTTCTTACAACTGAATGAGTGTTTTTTTTTTTTTTTTTATTTATTTTGTTTTGTTTTTTTTAAGAGGGCTGACCATTCTTTTTGGCTAAGGAGACACCCCATTGTAGTGATGGGCAGTTAGGATTGTGTGGATTACAGCAGGCAGTGAACAAGCTCTGATGCTACCTAGAAGTGTTAGGGCTGTGTCTATTCAGTACAGCCTTAACCCCTTCACGCCGGCCGCACGCAAGTGTGCAGCCTCCCGGCGTCTGGGCCTAGACGCCGAGCGGCTGCACATTTGCGTTCATGTAGCAAAAAACATATGTGCTGGGTGCTTGCGCCCTGCGCGCTCCCAGCACACGTGAGGTACTCATGGAAAGGTCCCGGTCCGCTCTTTCGATCTGGACCTTTCCCGATCATGTGACCGGCCGTGACGTCACGGCGGCCACATGACACTAAGCCACGCCCCGTCCCGCCCACCTCTCTGTGCAGGAACTCCTCTTCACGCCGGGACGATCCGGCGTGAAGGGGTTAAATAAAAGAATGAACATACATACTTTCAGTCCACTTTGCTAGTGGAGGGTGTTTTTGGTTTCTCGATGCTCACCCGACCTTATATGGTTTCATTGGTCGAGGCTAAAAAAAAAAACAGTATATATTATATATATTTATATTATATTTAATGTAACACATTGCTCATTTTTCATATAATTTCAGCCAGCAGGTGGTGCTTTAGGCTTCTGGGTTTTTTTTAATTACATGTTTTACTTTGTGTTTTTAACACCTGTTTCAGCTTTGCATGTTTTTTCTTTTTGCACGCGTACACACCCATCCAGTGTTTCACTCATACAAGCTGAAACCAAATGCACTGAGTTTTTGCTGTGCCCTCACTTTATAAAAGGGGGAATGTCACCGGCACACCAATGATCACCAATATGGGTCCAAAAGTTTTAATGAACGATCACATAGTTACAGCAAGGCAATGTCTCAGAGTCTCGCAGGACCCTTTCATCAGGCATGTCACATGCCTGATGAAGTGGCTTGCAGGACTCCGAAACATTGCCTTGCTGTAACTATGTGATTGTTCATTAAAACTTTTGGACCCATATTGGTGATCATCGCTGTGCTGGTGACATTCTCCCTTGCTGATTCTGGTCGGTTCCAGCCGACAGTCGCTGCAGCACCAATGTATACACAACGCCATTTTTATAGGCAGGAGCGTGTGCGTTTGGATTGTACACTTGCTCACTTTATATAACTTGCAGTGCTCTGTGAAGCCTTGGTTTCTTGGCCTGTTTAGAATAGGGAGGGTAACAAAGACACCACTTTGTTTTACAGGTCTCGTCATCAGCATGGATGTTAGTAATTCTTGCTAATGCACTTTGGCATTACTGCTTTAAAAACCCAATAAACGGGCACTATGCCGTGCACCTTTTTCAGAATTTGGATGTCTATCCAACTGTACTTTCTGATTTTTCCAGGTAAAGGGAGAGGCTCAGGCTTATGCCATTGAAGTCCGTGCTCGTGCTGATGCTGAGCAGATGGAGAAGAAAGCAGAAGCCTTCCAGCAATATCAGGAAGCTGCCGTAGTGGACATGTTGCTGGAGAAGCTGCCTGAGGTATAATGCCTTGCTGGTTACTGGAGTGTATACATCAGTTTCTGTTCTCTAATGATCATTTTTACACATCCCTACTCAGCGTTCACTTCTAATGGCATAGTTGCCAAAATCCAGAACTGACAGAAGATCAATTAAAGCAGCCTTTTGAATACTCCAAGTGTATGAATGTCCCAGCAATATGTTAGTTTAAGCTGATCACAGACCTTAGCCATCTGTAATAGCCTTAATGTCTGCAGGCAATTGCAGATGCCACTAGCAAAAAAATCTTTGAGGGGTAAATAGTGATTTGGAAAGATTAGGTGTGTATGTGTGGTGATAGATGGATAGAGGTAGGTATGTATGTATACACACACACTATCTCACAGAAGTGAGTACACCCCTCAAATTTTTGTAAATATTTTATTCTATTCATGTGACAACACTGACTAAATGACACTTTTCTACAATGCAAAGTAGCGAGTGTACAGCTTCTATATCAGTGTAAATTTGCTGTCCCCTCAAAATAACTCAACACACAGTCATTAATGTCTAAACCGCTGGCAACAAAAGTGAGTACACCCCTAAATGAAAATGTCCAAATTGGGACCAAAGTGTCAATATTTTGTGTGGCCACTTTTCTTTTCCAGCACTGCCTTAACTCTCTTGGGCATGGAGTTCACCAGAGCTTCACAGGTTGCCACTGGAGTCCCCTTCCACTCCTCCATGATGACATCACGGAGCTGGTGGATGTTGGAGACCTTGCGCTCCTCCAAGTTCCAATTTGAGGATGCCCCACAGATGTTCAATAGGGTTTAGGTCTGGAGACATGCTTGGCTAATCCATCACCTTTACCATCAGCTTCTTTAGCAAGGCAGTGGTAGTCTTGGAGGTGTGTTTGGAGTTGTTATGTTGGAATACTGCCCTGAGGCCCGTCTCCGAAGGGAGGGGATCATGCTGTGTTTCAGTATGTCGCAGTACATCAATGCATTCATGGTTCCCTCAATGAACTGTAGCTCCCCAGTGCAGCACTCATGCAGCCCCAGACCATGACACTCCCACCAACATGCTTGACTGTAGGCAAGACACACTTTTCTTTGTACTTCTCACCTGGTTGCCGCCAGACACGCTTGACACCATCTGAACCAAATAAGTTTATCTTGGTCTCATCAGACCACAGGACATGGTTCCAGTAATCCATGTCCTTAGTCTGCTTGTCTTCAGCAAACTGTTTGCGAGCTTTCTTGTGCATCATCTTTAGAAGAGGTTTCCTTCTGGGACGGCGGCCATGCAGACGAATTTGATGCAGTGTGCGGCGTATGGTCTAAGCACTGACAGGCTCATCCCCCCCCCCTTTAACCTCTACAGCAACGCTGGCAGCACTCATACGTCTATTTCCCAAAGACAACCTTTGGATATGACGCTAAGCACATGCACTCAACTTCTTTGGTCGACCATGGCAAGGCCTGTTCTGAGTGGAACCTGTCCTGTTAAACCGCTGTATGGTCTTGGCCACCGTGCTGAAGCTCAGTTTCAGGGTCTTGACAATCTTCTTACAGCCTAGGCCATCTTTATGTAGAGCAATAATTCTTTTATTCAGATTCTCAGAGTTATTTGCCATGAGGTGCCATGTTGAACTTCCAGTGACCAGTATGAGACTGAGAGCGATAACACCAGATTTAACACACCTTCTCCCCTTTCACACCTGAGACCTTGTAACACGGAGTCACATGACACCGGGGAGGGAAAATGGCTAATTGGGCCCAATTTGGACATTTTCACATAGGGGTGTACTCACTTTTGTTGCCAGCAGTTTAGACATTAATGGCTGTGTGTTATTTTGAGGGGACAGCAAATTTACACTGTTATACAAGCTGTACACTCACTACTTTACATTGTAGCAAAGTGTCATTTCTTAAGTGTTGTCACATGAAAAGATCTAATAAAATATTTACAAAAATGAGAGAGAGCGCTTTGCCCATGTAGTGCAAATCAATAGGTAACCGCTCCCCTTTAGCTTCATATACTCCCCTTTCCTTCTTTACTTTGCTGCCCTGTTTGCTAGCAGAATCAAGGAGGAGAAGCTCTGTGTGAGCTGAAGTTAACCCTTGCTAGAGCTTACACAGGGCTAGGGACTCTCTCCTGGAAGTACCAGGTAGGCTGTAATGAGTTACAGGGGAGTGAAAGGAAGGTCAATATTTGCAACTTGGCAGTTAAGTGAATACTATTACAGTTCAGTAAAATGGTGCTCAGAAAAACAATCTGCTTTGTTATTGCTAGTAACGAACTGAATCGTATATCTTTTTTTATAATTTTTTTTTGTTTTTTTTTTTATCATGCCCATTGTTCCACTTTTTAAGATGAGTGTTTTGCTTTGACTGTAGTCATTTAATACCAAACCCACCTTTTTTGTTACATTGGTATTACAAGGCAGGACAACATATCAATTGGCATTGCTGTGTATTTGACACTGGTATTTATCTTTCAGGTTGTCGAGGAGATCAGCAAACCTTTAACCAAAGTGAAAAAGATTAAAATGGTGTCCAGCGGTGGAAGTGAGGTTGGAGCTGCCAAGATTACAGGAGAAGTATTGGATATACTAAACCGCTTGCCAGAAACAGTGGAGAAACTGACCGCATTAACATCAATCAGGTCAGTAGTTCCCATAAGCCAATTGCTCTGAAGACGAGAACAGTTAATCTCTGAAGTTGTATCAGGAGCTCTGGTACTATCATTGGATGGCTGTTTGACTCAGCCTGCACAGCTATAGCTATATGGCTTGAATAACAAGATAAATCTTTTTGTAGGATGTTTAAAGCAAGCCTGTGCTTAGAGTAATGTGGAGACTGTCATTACTGACTTTTTATGCTAAAAATACAAATTTGTTGACTGTTATACTAAACATCCTCCCTCTACTCGCTGACCCAGAAGAACTTATGCAGATCTGGAATCCAATTGCTACATAGTCGTATTGATTCCCTGGCATAGAACATAAGTATAGCAATTGCAGCCACCACTGTTATATCATAACAGATTCCCTTTAAGATTTCCAAGAAAGTTATAATTTTTGTGTGGAGGTTTGAGCTTGTGGGCTGCCGTTCTTTTTCTTGCTTTGTTACTTGGTGATCCATAATGGACATGCAGCCACTGACCAGCCTTAACTGATATGCAAGTAATTATTCTGCATATGTGCCTCACAAAGCAGGGGAGAAAGGAAGAGTAATGCAGGCCATAGACGGGGAGAAAAACGGCCGATTTTTCTTTTAAAAAACGAAAAATTGGTCGTTCAAGCGGCCGACGTTACCAGCAATGGTAAAAAAAAAATCGGCCGATTTTCATCCTGTCTACAGCCGGCAAAAAGTGTCCCTGCAGAGAGCTCTGCTATTTCTTTGACAGTTCTTTGACATTTATAGCGGTTGCAACAATGTATCTATTTGTATCCATTTAGGATACAGATGTTTTTATTCAGAAACAAATAGATACAATGTTGCAACCGCTGTAAATGTCAAAGAACTGTCAAAGAAATAGCGGAGCTCTCTGCAGGGACACTTTTTGCCGTACTGGAATTCTTCTTCTTCTCCCCCTCCCTCCTCCCTTCTCCTTCTCCTCCTCCTCCTCCTTCATCCTCCTTCCCTTCATCCTCCTCCCCCTCCTCCTCCTCCTCCTTCTCCTTCATCCTCCTCCTTCTTCTCCTTCATCCTCCTCCTCTCCTTCATCCTCCTCCTCCTTCATCCTCCTCCTCCTCCTCCTCCTTCCCCCTCTTCCTCTTCCTCTTCCTCTCTTCCTCCTCGTCTCATGCGCAGATTTTTTTTTATCGGTAAAAAATCAGCCGATTTGCCCATCATTGCCGCCAAAATCGGACGATTTTTTTTTCCAACTTTACCGATAAAAAAAATCTGCCAAAATACCGAAAAACGGCCGAACAAATAGCCCACTAACGATCCGAAAATTGGCCGATTTTATTTTCGGCCGAAAAATCGGCCGATTTTCGACCCATCTATGGCCTGCATAAGACATGTCCCAGAGCTTACTTACTATGCAATATGGAAAACCTTGGCACACATAGGTGTGAATGTGACTGGGACCTTGCATTATTGTATTCCTTTAAGAGTCTAAACTGTTTTACAAGCTGTTTATTTGGAAACATTTTTTCTTTTCCAGAATATGCAGAAGAAACCTGGACGCATGTCCTAACGCTTGAAATTCAATCAATCCCACTATATCCTCATCCCACGTATGTCTTACACCATTGTTGTTCTCCTTATGGTGCCTACAACAGCTGTCTCCTTGTCTTTCACATCAGTCTCCTTGTATTATGGCTGTGTACAGAAGCACTTCTCCACAGCTGACTTGTGCTTGCTTGACAGGCTCCTTCTGGAGCAGATTGAGGCCTTCTTCTTGTCATTTCAAAGACTAGAAATTGTTTTTATAGTTATTGTGTTATGGGCATTCAGCATTTTTCTTTGTCTCAGCTGCCAGTAATAAGATTGTGTTTTTATCCTAAGAATGGGTCTGATTTTATAAACATGTCTGTGAGGACAACTGTATGTTTTGCCCATACCATCCACTCGCATCCTCCCTTTTACCTTTCTAGAATTTTAAGGGGATCTTTGAGCAAGACATAGAGTTCTCCTTTTCAGGCATTTTCACATTAGAGCCGATTCGGTAAAAGTAACCCAACACAGCGGCTGGAGGGAATTGTAAATACAGTTGCAAGAAAAAAGTATGTGAACCCCTTGGGATTACGTGGAGTTTTGCATGAATTGGGCATAAAATGTGCTCTGAACGTCATCTAAGTCACAATGGAAGAACACAGTCTGCTGAACATAATACTACACAAACATTAGATGTTGCCATGGTTTAATTGCACATAACATGTAAACATTCACAGTGCAGGGAGGAAAAAGTATGTGAACCTTTGGACTTAATAACTGGTTGACCCTCCTTTGGCAGCCCTGCAACCATGTGCAAAGCAAAAGGTTGCTGCCCAGGCTAACAGAGTTAAAACAGGCAGTGAGGGGGTGACACATATCAGCTGCCTTGCAAACACAGCATTAGATCGCTTTTCAGAGGGATGCTACTTGTTTAAACAAGCCCTAACTCTGCTGGAAGGTAAATACTTACTAATGTTAGTTTTGAACTTTTCTCCTGCTAGCTTGAGGTCATGTTCCCTGAATATATAAAATTCAGGATTTGCTCCCACCCTACCCAACCTCATATGCAGACAAATGAAGATTCCCGTTCTATGACTTGCCCAGTGCTGGGCAATTATTATATCCTTTCTGGTGTCTGGTAAATAAAACCATGAGGAGAGTTTATCAAAATTGGAGCAGCCAGAATCTAAAGTAGTGGTGTCTGGCAGCCAATCGGCTCCTTTCATTTTCAAAGCTTAATTGAATAAACTAAAGATAAACACTAATTGGTTGTCATACACAGTTGCTCCAGATTTAATAAATTCCCTCCAGTATGTACTGGACTTGGTCATAGTCTGCAGTCGTACAGTCTTTCCTAATGTGGTGACCTTAGAGAAGCTAGCAAGCTCGACTATTTAAAATGTCGCCAGAGGGGGCATAAAAACTGCTCCACCCTAGAAAGGCCAGGCAGTGCAATCTCCATTCATCTGCGTTTGAGGTCTGCATTACCGTGGGGATGTTTGATGAGGATGGTGTTCTGTGGAAAACACATAAATTAGAAGTGAACTTATCCTTCAAGGCTTGTTTACACAGGCACTTATCCCTGTGTAGCAGCCAGAGCTGTTTGTTTTATTATTCATTTTTTTTTTTTTTTTTCTACTGCGGGTGAGCTGCACGTGGACAGCCCAAAGAAAGTGAATGGGTATGCATTGGGTTGAGCGCCTGAGTGAATGAGCCCTTAGGTTCCATTAATAGTACACATTATTGGTACACCTCTTTAACTTTAAGGTTGCCGGTAACTGATGGCTACTGTGTCTTGACTGTTTCAACTTGGAGACAGAAGCCAGCGAATGAAATATACACCAAAACATTTCTGCTTCTGTCCTGACCTATGGGCTACAAATGTGATGGGGGTGTTAGTCTGCACAGACTTAAGAACATCATAGGTGGTGTGGTATTGCTCAGGGATTAAACAAAAAACTGGCCTGGCTACTGGAGCTGCAAGAACGTCTTTGGCAGGGTGTAACATGTTACAGAAGTACCCGCTCTTCCCCTCCCGGATTCTTCTTTTTGACAACTAGCAGGGTACATTCCCGTGCTAGCTGTCACAATCTGAAAAAAAAAACGTGGCCTTGCGGGGTTCTGCTCGCCCAGCCAAGTTATTCATTTACAGTATTTTGTAAATGGGAAAAACTAGAAGTTCCGACAGAATTTTGTGGTTGTCCGCTTGTAGTTCTCAAGGAACTACCAGGGTGCTGTTGAGTCCTCTAGGTAGTTCATTGAGCTTCCTGTCATTGTGTAACTGCCCGCCCGAATTGGAGGTACAGCTACTCCGTTTACAGGACCATGGCATTACACCCGTGATCTGCTGATCGTGGGTGCAATGCTTTACAGGTTCTAACAAAAATATAAGAAATACATTTTTTTTATCTGCAAACAAAGTGCATTTCTTAATATTTTTTGTAAAGGTGGATTTACCCTTTAAACCGCTTCTTGGAAATCAGTTGCACGTGCTCTGAATGAAGTCGATTTTCTCTTGTAGTTTTTTATAAGATTGTCAATACAATATTGTTTTTATCTGTTTTCCGAAATTTAATTTTGTATTTTACTATTCGAAAATATTTTTTGTTTCATGAGTGGCTTATGTAAAATTACCATAGATATGTAAAAAAAAAGTCACCAACTTTCTGTTTCCTGGCATATGCCAATAATGTATAACTTGAATGAATGGATATTTATTTCCCTATACAGAGTGGTTTGTTAGTGTGACCGTTTGCTAATAACAAGCAACCACAATGGTGAATTTGGCTTCAGATCGGAGAGATGCCTGTGCCACTTGTGCTAGATAAGCCATGTTTAATCATTTCAGCCAGCAGAGGGCACTCTTGGGGTACTGTCAAGCGTCTCCACCCTGAAATTCCTCTGTGCTAGCATTAGACCGCATATTTTACCAGACCTAGGTTTGATCCAGTGAAATTAGCATGTTTTCCGGCATATTTCAAGATAGGGCGTGATTGTATAGTATGGTGGTAAGCTGTCAAGGCACAGGACCCACTTTATCAGGCATGTAACAAAAAACTGTCAGTTGTAAGCTTGATTGGGCAGGCTAGTTTTTTTTCATCTGATCTTTTTTTCCCCTGCTTGTTAGAGACAATCACTTGCCTTTTTTCTTCTTTATACTTTTTTTTTTTTTTTTTTCTTTATACAAAATTAAACACATAGCATCGTCCATCCCTCCCTGTTATACAATATTTTAGTGTATGTATATATTAATTGTTTGTGGAACAAATATTGTTTGCTGCATGTACTTGCACCTGTTTTCTCTCCTACTTTTGGACAGGCAACAATAAAAACAAATTACCTAGTAGAGCGAGGAAGGTTTAGAACATCCGCCTGTATTTTATTGCTGTATGTGCCCACATGCTTGCTTCCTGTCCAGATCATGGGTATCCAAACAGGAAAAGAAGAGAGATAGCAAAAAAAAAACAAAAGAGGTAACAAAAAAAAAGTTTGTATAGAGTTGGTCTTTAACACAACTTTTTGTTGACAC